ATCTGGAAACCATGGCTTGCATACCGACTTCCTTGGACTTTGAGACTTTTCCCTTGCAGTAACCTCAGTGTTGGCTGCCCTCTCAGTCATGGTTTATGTCCCAACAGCTGTTCAGTTTGCACACTTTTATTGTAAATGCTATTTACAATATTATTACAGTATTATTGTATATTCCCTGTACAGGATAGTGAGGTTACTCTGTGGAGCCTCAGAAGTCATTTCCAGAAGGGGTAGACTTTGCAGGGTAAACCAGAGAAATGATTTCCCTTCTCCCCCTGAAACCCTACTCTGAAAACTTTGTTATAGAGGAAATTATAATGAGCTTTGAAATCTGTTTTGCAGTTTTCAGGCCAACTCTTTATGTGTGTGTGGCTTTGCAATATACCATTTTGGGGATGAAGTTTTATGAGTCTAACAGCTCCTTACTCCTCCCATTTCCCCCTTTCCTTCCTGCTCTTCTCTTCCTCCCAGGATTTAGCAGTTTTATCCCGATGCGGGTGTCCTTCCTCTCTGTAAAGTCGTAAGTACCTTGAGGTGGGAGGAGTAAATTCAGCCTGACACTGAGAGCGCTTTTGTTGAAACAGGAGAGACTTGCGGTGTCCCTACTTAAATATGACACATGTGAGTAATCTCTTCCTATACAATATCGGAATAGGCAATTAGATTTTTCTTTCTAGAGGGCTGGAGGGAAGACAGAGAGCTTGTGCTTTAGGTCGGGTGGTTTGTTGGGTGGTTGGTTTTGCTTTCCACCCCCCTCCCCCCCCCCAAGAGAGATGGTGAGATATGGCCAAAAAAAAAGGGGGGGGGGTTGTCTCTCGCAATTCAGCCCAGCAGAAACGAGAAAAAAAAAAATAACCACGGTAAAGGAGTGAGAGGATGGGGAGGAGACCAGTGTGTGGCAACTCTCTGCTCTGCGAAGCCCCTTATTTATGGGGGGGGGAAACAACCCCAAAACCAAACGAACGAGGCGGGGGGTGAGAGAAACAACATGGCAATAATAGCGATATCGCTGCCTGCCCTCGGCACGAGGTGCCCTGTCGCGACAA